TCTCAGTAGGCGCAGCGGGGATGTGCATCTGTCGCACTTTAGTGGTCAATAGAATTATCTTAACCTTCCTGTCTCGCTGAAAGCCGCGTCTTCTGGCGCTTCACTCGCGACGTTAAAGAATAGTGACCATGCGCTGCCGATCACTCAGCTTCTCGGTATCTTTTTCTCAGCAATGCTTTCCAACCACTCCTAATATAAATCAACTTAGCCGACCTGATGAGATTAAGAGAAAATACAAAGCTGTGTCTGAAGACAGTGACAGGTTTCCTCAAACATATGAACTTTGAAGTGGCAGTGGATCTATGGGCATTCGTCGAATCAGGGAATAAATACACGAGCTTTTCCGAAGTGTCCTTAGGGTCACATTGGACTCTTTCTTTTTACCTTTGATTGCCGTCTTGTTTCGGTTGCTCGCCCTAAACAGCACCTCATAGCCGAGGTGCTTAATTTCAGCAGAATGTGGCTGTTTGGTCAGGGTTCGAAACGGAATACCTTGACTACGCAACCGGCGCAGTTCCGCAGTGGATTGTAGTGCGAGCACTCTAGGCCTATTATTTTGCGGCACTTTTCTCCGGATTATCAGCTGCGTATTTGGACTGTCTTGCGATCTCGATATGCCTCCTTATTTATGTTACCATAATTCTCAGAACTATTGGTCACCGTAGTGGTATACACTTGAAACGCAGGTCAGCTCGTCTCAAACTGCTCTATTGTCTCCATCTCTTGTGAGCTTGATCTTGCGGCATATTGATTGCGATTAACTTCACCATACATCACTGTTCTCTTCATTTTGCTTGTGGTGATGTAAGTACGCAGCTATTACCTGATCTTCTGCCACAGTCCCACAGTGAGACAGAGTCACTTCATGATATCGGGCTAAGAAATCGTCTGAGTCATGCAGACCAACCATTTGTGCAGGCAGAATGCGCGAGTAAAGTTCGTTGACCGACATCGGAGTGATGTGACTTGATCAGACGATGTTATCACTAGTGATTGCTTCAGGAAAGCACTCGACGTTTTCCAAACAGTCAGCTGTTTGATGTACCACATACTGAAGCACTCCTTCCAGTTTGTTTGCTGCATTGGGGCTACCAGTTGGTAACCCTTGTTTCACTCTCATTCTGTGTGTAGCACATAATCTCATCTGTACTGCATTTATGGTAGTTTATTCCTACACTTGTCAACAGATTGGAGCGCTTCGGTTATTGGTCTAGTCGATGCAGGCATTTCTTTGTTTCCCAAGTTGAAACTGCGAGGCTCAGCCAACACCTCGAGTCGCACCGTTTCAAACATTGCACTCACTTGGGGATGGCAAATCCCGAAACTGTGCATATGTTCACAACTCCATACAGTATATTTTTTTGAGATACTGTCAGCGACACAATATTGTGAGCGTATTACGTTCCGATTGATCAAGGACTTGATATCCACATCAGCATTTAGACTTTCACCTGACTTCCTGTTTCAAGATTCGCGGAAACCGAAGGCGGGGGGGAAACAGTCAAGTGTGGATGGGTTACCCAATCACAGTACCAGTTTCAGTCTATCCGTCTCTCTGCTGTTACCCCAAGAAGGTATACTCTGTGCGTGTAATCAACGATATTTTCTGATGCGGCTAAGCGCACCAACCCCGACAACACGTGTGTGTGCTCTGTGGGACACGGTCCATTTCATTTGAGCAACTGTTACCCCCCAAGTACTTCTGAACTAGTGATTGCGATGATCACTCACTGTAGTGGAGAGTAAAGAGCCAGACAATTGGACATCCACAAATCAACCAAGATGATTGGGGAAGCAGCAATCGTCGGCAGGATTTGTTGAGTTCGAGACGCCGGACTGGATGGAGCAGCACCATCAACCTTGTGACTGACTTATGCACCATTTACCTAACCACAGATTAAGCAATTACTTAAGCTGCCATCTGCGAATGCGGCACACCTTAACAGATTTTTCGCTTATATTTTATATTTTCAGCCATGTTATCAGTTGGTCTTCGCAGGGAAGGCTCACTATCGACAAGCAACACCCACTGGAGGTGGGCAGAAACGTTCTAAGCACTGGAGTCGTCTGCTTTTAACTAGTGCGAATCGGGACTTGTTGTTGAAGATCGGCAGGCGGATCCCAACATTTCTACCTCGCTTCTCCCACTAGATCTGAGTCATACTTTTCAGGGATGATTAATGGACAGTCGTTAAACCTCCCCGACGCGCGTTAGTCATTGCTCTGCTCCGTATCGTGGTACTGACTACAATGCTATGTTTTGCACATTTGACTGAAGAACTCATGTTCCACCATCGATATTTAGGTTTTTGAGCCTACCTATTACGCTCAACGTTTTGACCTTTAGAGGTGATACTGCTTTCTGATCAAGTTAACCGAGTGGATGCTTGGTACTCTTAAAAACTGGTGATTCGTCGTTCCGTTTCTGCACCGGTACCCTACAATTTAAAAGTTCAAAACGCTCGATAGAGCATGTCATGCTGTGTTCAGAAGGGCCTGGGTATTGGCTGGATCCGGCCCTACTAAGGTGATGCTGTCCGTGTGCTCTAACTATGTCACTTAGCCGAACCCTGTTTTCGATGAAACACTCAAAGCAGCTCTTATTGAGAGATTTGGACGTCTAACTTGTGATTCACAAATCGCTAGTCCGAGTCTGTGCAGTTGCGGACAACATTGCAGCATCGTTAGCCCGCAGGCGGCTGCTAATGTTGCGTAGCGGCGAGACGTTGATATAGCGTACCGGCGTGTTGCTGACGCCTTCCTCCGATTCTTTCACTCTTGTTTTGATTACAGCATAGTGAAGAGAAGGGGAAACAAACGTGTTTTGTTACCCCCCACTTGTCTTAGCGAAGCCTCCCGCGTACTAATAGAACCTCCGGGGTCATTTTTTCTGTCTGCCCTAGAGAGACGATACTCTCATCAGATGACGGTATACATGATATCCACCCAATGCATTATTCATGGGGGAGTGGAAGCCACCCATTTTACTCTCTCGACGGTTTTTGTGGATATTTTATAGGGAGTAGCATTTTTTTCACCCATTGCCTAAGCGATAATGTTTACTTAAGCTATCCTTCCCCCATGATTTTTATTACCATAGGCCAACAATATAGATCCATATCGGACGTTTACGTAGTCACATCCTGCTCATTCTTTGGACTATTTTTCACCCACGTCACGTTGCAGTACAGCGGCTACAATGCCCTGACACACCAGGTCAACTGTTTCCTTCCGTCGATCGCGTTGGTCTTCATCCATACTGATCGTTTCAAGTCATTTCTTCGTTCATGGTTCCGGCTCTCCTACGCATTGTGTTCCAACGCGTGCAAGCTACGCTTACCGTCGACTGGTTCATATTTTTGTCCCTCGCGTTCATCACACTTTTCAGCCTACTTTGGCCATAAAATACCAATAAACTTCAGTCCGTTTGCGTTTACGACTCGTTTACAAAGTGATATGCACAGCAGTCAGGCGGGCTGACTGGCTGACTATTTGATTAGCAGATAGCTTAGAAACGATTAGAGACGCAACGCATCAGCCTTTCAAACGTGGTTTTTGTTGAACCCCCTCTACTCCCATCTGTAGTCGTTTTGTAGCGCGATCACTTCTTTCTATCGACCCACTCCGAGTTGCGTGAGTTCAGGTGCAGACCAGACCGTATGGTTTTATGACGTTAAAACTTTTGACGGACTGACCAAAGTCACTGTTCACTTGTATCGATCTGCAGTTTATCATCTTTGAAGTATATACCTGTGCTTGTGCGTTTATGGTTTGCGCACTGAATGGTGCCCCATGGTCTCTGCCCATTGCGATTATTACAACTCTTATGCATATGTCCGATATCGTTTCTATATCGTTCTTTCGGGCTGTCCTCATATTGCTGGTAATGGTGAATCGATTCATTTATTTCTAACCAAGCTGTCGACAGTTGATTATTCTTCTCTTCCAATATGGACATCATAGTAAGTTCGGAGCAACTGTGCTGTCTCTGCCAGCACAGTTACCTGATCCTGTCACAGATGGACGCGAGGCATCTCTTACCCTCCCATATGAAGCAACAGCAGTCGATTGTCCTGACCTTCTGTCCGCTCAATTTTCCCCCTTGAAACCATACTCTGCGCACCGATCTGTTTCGCTGCGCATATTCAAAGAACCTTCCTCTTAATTATGCTCCTACCATCTGCGCTGCGCTTTGGTAGCTCAGGTGTATCGCCATTCGTTTACCTCTTTATTTCGGTTTCCGCTTGAATATCACTCACTGTGACCACAGAGCCTCCGTGAATTCGTATCATTCTGTTGTTTACATCTGGACTCTTTGGTTACGGCTCATCGCTTAAAACTGTGGGCATCGTATATGTTCTCTTCGCATTTTCTACCGTTTCCTGATATTACTCCATTGGTTATACTGTACGAACCTATTTATCCACTATAAGCTACTCTCTACCTTCTCCATTCGTAGTCAATACTAACTTATGCCACACCCTATCGAACCGGTCTTGCATGTGCAATTCGCGCCCCCTGATATGCAATGTAAAAGCTAGTCGACAGTTATATGCCATTTGACACTCTTCTTAGCACCGTGTTAAGTCAGCATGTCTATTCACTTGTTAAATTTCATCTGATTAGAGAAGAGTAGTAGGCGGAGTTGAATGGTATAGGTAGAAATTCGTCACATCTAGACTCACTCAGGCAGCCGCCACACGCCCGGAAAAGCACTGTACGCGCGTTTCATCCTTTCGGGAATCATCAGCAGTGCACATTTCATCGGACCCTTGGTAGGGCTCGAACCCGCAACTCGACTGTTGCCAGTCCGTGGTTGAGACCACTGAGCTACGGGGGACGGCAACGACCATCGTGAATAAGTTACTAGATGTGATATAGCGCCGCTCACTATCACAAATTTCATCTTACGTCAGTTTCGCCCTATTCATATTGTTGTCGTGTTCTCTCCGAGCTTGACGCTGTTCATCACCATCTTTTGTTTATCATTCCCTCACTAGACGCTCTCGTTCGAATGGACCGGAGTCAGTTACAGAAATTCGCCCAGTATTTGATTGCTTCGCACCCAAATAAAGTTTTACCAAGTGCTCAACTATTGGCCGATCAGTTGCTTCAACCTGAATCCAATATCAACCAAACATCCGGTAAGAAATGTCCATTTTCTCGCTTGCACCGACCTACGTGATTCGGGATCCGTCCATTCGCACACTAAGTACCGGTTAAACGGCACTATTGCATGAACTGTCTTTTTCCCGACTCTGTTTGAATTCGATGTCTTGTAATCTATTTGCGACTGTTTGCCTTCTCCGTCTCTGGTTAGCGCCTTATTCCAGCATGTTGGTATTGCAATTACTTCATTCGTTCGCTATGCCTATGAGGACCGTCGGCATCGATACCCGGACGGTGATCAAATTCCTTGCTGCTTCCCATTCATCGAATACACAACTCAACCGGATTTCTGCTGTGCTTCGCTTTCATGTCCGATGGCTTTCCATCCCGGCAAAATTGTATATGCCGTACACACTAAACTCACCTTCACTGTGCGTATTCTTTGCTAGTTCTCTGCGTGCGGTGTTTTCGTTCGTTTATCGACTTCTGTTGGACTCTTATTTGTGAACAGTTTCTCAGTCCTTTCGTCATTGTTTGTTTACTCTGTAACTCGATGATTGGCGGTGATGCGAGGAAGTCAAAGTTTTGTCCTCGCCATTGTCCGGTGCATTGTCCATAATTATTTCCCCCTATTTGTGTGTTGCATTACCGGACGGACGTACCGATGGCGCGGTGATCCTTCGCCGCTTTGCGTCTCATCCACATCGCCTTTCGCACTAAACAGGGCATCACAACGAACATACTTGCGAGAACATTTGTAACCGCCGCCCCCGCCGCCACCACCACCATCTCGATTGTTCGGCGTCTCGCTCGCACATTATTCCCTGTCACTTTAGTATTGTTACCTCCTGGTTCCACATTCTGTTTCACTTATCCGGCTCTTCAAATCCATGCATGTATACTTCTTGCACTCTTGTCTTACCCTCTAGTGTTTGTTTCGTTCCAAAAGCCATCACCTAATGAGCCGTTTTGTGCCCATTGGCCCGATCCCGAAATGGCCGGTATGCGGAAGCTCACCGAAACTCTGAGCCGGGTTGTTCACTGTCATCTTCATGGTTGACTCACTCAGAATCATCGGCAACATCAGCGGTCATGGGGTCAATAGCTCTCTCGCATTCCTGGCGATTTAGTCTCTTGTTCCTCCACCAGTTATTCACATTCTTATCATTTTGGCGGGGTGTATGAAGGCAGCTGGATCCACTATACCTCGATAAACAGTTGATAAACTGGGCTGAGCGGAGCTGATTAACACACTGTAGTCGCTGCAACTCAGTTTGATATCCCTTGTTTTCACTCCCCGTTCATTTCCACCACTGATCCACCGATTCTTGTGTATAGTTAGCCCTTCTACGGTTGTTTTATTCAACTTCTCTTGTGGTCATTTTCCTTCATGTATACGGCTCTTGTGAGGAGCAGTATTTTGGTTTTCGGAGAAAAACCAATGGTTCTAAACAGGTCGGGTGGACTCACGATTGTGTCACTCGTCCCTTAAAGTCTGACCACATCTGTTGTTTCCATTTGAACATCGATCGTCTTACTGTCAACCGTCCATGAACCGGATGTGTTGTGCGCACCGGCAACGATGATGCTCATGTAAATGTGTGTTTACGACAAATGGGCTTAGCCTAGTCGACTCTCCTTCAGCTCATCTACTAGCACATGCTAACACATTCGTTACAATCATCTTCGAATCAATGCGATTGCCGAACCAGTTTCGGCCTTCGTGACTGGCATGGTATCGATCGACCTGGCTCAGCCGCACATCGACCCGTGCCCGCGTTAGTCACGCACGCGTAAACACCGTCATCCCTGCGCGTACATCACTCTGAACGTTGTTCAACATCGTTTCGAGCCACGGTTACGTTGCCCCTCACTCATTGGTGTGTGCGTGTGGATAATGGCGCTCCACTCGAGCGTGTTTCGTCCGCTTCATCTCACACCTTCCCTACGTTGTAGTGGCTAAAACTTGCACACACACGCGCGTGTTCTTGTGACAAAACCGACAGCGTTCCTTGTCACGCCTCTCCTAGGGCGGTCTTTCACTCTTACTCCTAGTCTAGGCGCATGTGCGCTGGCGGTGCATCTCTCTTGGTTTCTCGATGCTCCTACTGTCTTCTTCGGAGCGATTTCGCTTGTTATTCCGCTAAAATAGGACACCTTTTGTGTGTGCACGTGACTGTGTGCAGACTAAGGGTACTTGTACATCTTCAGGGGAAAATCCGATACAGCATCTCGAGGTCTCCGGTCCCTTCACAAGCCAGTAGATAATCGCACGATAGTCTACTTGCCCCTCAGTTGATCACTTACGTACGTTTGCTCTTACGCTCGAGACCATATTGAATGTGAATACCTCTTAGTCCGCATAAATTGGACTCGCGTTGCAGTTTATACGCGAACTTGATTTTGTATCATACATGGTTGGCGGCATCCGGTTTCGGATTTGCCTGTTACTGCAGCCTCTATAGGACAGCCCCAGGATGCCTGGGCCTACAGGGTGAACATGAGTGGCTTGCGCTGCACCACTCACAGCTCCATCCACACACCCCATATCCAGTGCAAGCCCGAAGGAATAAGATCGGGAGGTGTGTGGATGGGAGCCACACTCCATCAACACGCACAGCAGCGTCATTCCTATCTACTTATGTGGAGAATCATGCATACCGGAGCTACACAATGCGGTGGCTAGGCCACAGTCCGCTCCACACTGGAAGAAATCACAATTTGAGCTTAACACGGTTACGAGGACCTTGCACCCCCCAGCAACGATTCCCGGTCTCCTGAAGCCAGTAATCGAGTTGGTGGGTGTTAGTCAAGTAGGCAGCTTGCTAACTTTCACATCAAGCACAGCCACACAGGAGATATCAAACAACCAATACAATTTGGAGACTAATAAACACGTAAAATTGCCAGGGAATGTGCAGCAGAATAACGGAACTGGGGAAATCAAATAAAGCGGAATACACTTCATCCAGGTTATGGAAATCTAGTTGTATGATGGATGCAACACCGACCTCAGCATGAAGCATCATACAGGCGTTGTTCGTAAACGTTGATCAGTCAAGTCTCTTGGTTTTTAGCCAAACTGTGTTTTAGAGGTATTTGTATGAACGAGGATGCGGGCCTCGTTGGCAGCGGTGGTGTACCCATAGTTCGTGTAAACACGATCATTGCAATCAAACCAATCGCGTTTTCCGATACCCTAGGTTGCCGTTCCCGTCGGAGCCGTTGGTAATATTATAGAATGATCCTTAGACATAGAAGCCATCGACAACCCCGCAACTGTATCTTTCAACGACCCGACGGCTTCACTGGGTTTCTAGAGTGCAGTGATGTTTTAAAGGAACCTAACTCGTGTTCTTTTGTGGTAATAGATCGAGTACCTGATCGACAAGCCGCTCACCACTTTTCCTCCGGCGCGGTTTGCATCTCTGTCTTCTAATGACTCATTAGAGGACTGCATCTTGAAACGGGTCCAACTGCACCATGGTGCAGCGCTGCTTGGAACCGATTGCGGCTCTTTGTTACATCACATTTACCATCCAGTTTTGTCGTACCGGCGCGTTGTCCGGCATGATGATTCTCGCTTGACTATCCTACCGTTCACTGATCTTTTAATTCATCCTTGGCTGTAAGTTCAGTATACCAGCTATGCTCCGACCAGTGGATCCATCTGGCAGGGCTGGCATCACGAGCGCCAGAAACTACCAAACTGATGAGCCTGCTTCGTTTAGCTTTCGCGGTACGTTGAAATCATACAGACTCATTCGTATCTCCTCATCATCATGTAGCGCTGCGCTCGCTCGGAGTATACGTGTACTTCGATAAACAACATATTTACCTTGTCTTGTGATAACTAATGTACTAGCTGTGATGTCGATCACTTTTTCTGGTGGTGATCCCTGTTGTAGTTTTGCGCGTGTTACACCAGTTGGTAGGTTAACCCGCTTTGCTCATCTATCAGTGCAGCAGCTTGTGTTTTATTGACCATTGGCTCTATACCTATCTGGCTGTACATCCCCGCCCTTGGTGTCTGGAAGAGGGACAGTCCACGTACGTGCTTGGCTGTTCAGTTCACTCTTGAAACCTGAACTGAGCTAAGCCACCCACTTCGCTTGGTCTATCCTCACAAACCAGCTTTGTGTGACTTGCGTGTGGCTCATACAAGTTGGGTCTTGTTCATTCCAGCTCATCGATTGACCGACTGGCTCACGCGACAATCCGCGCAACGAACTAAACTGTGGGGTGGACCAGTGATCGTGTTTCTGATTGATTGTCAAACCTTTAAATGACCAATGCGCCCAACACTCTTCTGTCAGAGCATGTTTCATCCGCGTCCGCAAGGTGATAAAGTTACTTCGTTATTTCCTGCACCTATCAGCTTCTGTTTACAGCTGTAGCAAGCTACCGGGAATTCTCCTAGCACCACATTTGTAACTAGCATTCGCTCACATGGATAATTTTTCCTATTTTTACCTAATAGCGACTTTTTTAACCTAGCCTTACCATTATGGTCACTCGTGTAGTTTCAACGTTTCCAGACTACCTTTCACTTCTCCGTTTTTTGCCGTCGACTGGAGCCTTTTGTCCAGTCATGCCCAATTGACGACGGAACATCCGTTTTTATTTCGGTGTATGTCTGCCGTGGTGCATGCCATTGCAAACGACGTTATCAATTCGTACCGCTACTTGTGAGCCATTTAGGAATCTAAGATCCATTGACAACATGAATAGGCTTTACCAAAACAGCCTTCGTATGCTTTGGGCGCTCAGGCGCAGCTTCATCAGTTTGTCCGAAGAGATTGCCACTCGCCTCTTCGTCTCAGTAATACGGCCAATGGTAAAATATGGCTATTCTGTGTACTGTCTTATCACCTGGTGCGAGGTAGAAAGGATTGAGCGAGTGCAGCATGTAGCCACTAGGCTGATTCCCAACTTACGCGATGTGCCCTACGAGGACCGGTGTAAGAAACAAGGGCTGTACACCCTAGCTTATCGTCGACTGAGAGTTGACCTCATCATGACGCACCGGATATTACATCTGAGAGATTACTCCATGTTGTGGCCGGTGCTTCATCTGCACACACCAAGCAGCACACGAGGACACCTGTACAAGCTTGTCGTACCGGATTTGAAGCGGGTCGCTCACTAACTCTGTTTCGAACGTAGAGTGGTGAATGTATAGAACGACCTGCCGCAGCACATAGTTGAGGCAAAATCGGTGTCGGAATTTAAGAAATTCACTTTGCTGACATAAAATATATCAAGCGCACCACAACGTAATGGGTCTTCATCCCTGAGTAATATTAGTTG